TTTTCCTTGAATCAAGGTGAGGCTTTACATCCTGGGGGAGGGAAACAGCAGGGCTGCTCTGAAATAGGGGTGTGGAGATGGCAGCGGAGGCAGAACATAACCCTTTTGGGCACCCACACTCCTGCCTGGAGCTCCACGTGCACCCTCGTGCTGTAATCCCTGGGAGCACCTGCGTTTCACAGGTGAGGAAACTGACGTAGAGGCATCCAGGGGCGTGCCTGTGAGTGTGTGGCGGGGATGTGATGTGACACAGGCAGCATTCGAGCATGGGTCTGTTCAGCTGCAGGTCTCCAGGACAGTCGGGAGCATGGGTTCTAGAGCCAGCCAATCTGTCTGTGAATCTGAGCTCTTCGACCTACCAGCTGTGTGACCTTGAGTAAATTACCTAACATCTCTGTGCCTCAGGTCACCTCCTGGAAAAGGGAGATCAAAGTCTACCCACTGCACAGGGTGGTGAAGGGTGAATGAGTATCTACAGCTAAGTGACCTAGGCGGTCAGTCTTATAAAGCAGTGACTGCTGTGGGGAAGTCCGGCAGATGAATTTTCACTCTTTGGCACAATTTTCACATTACTCAGTGCTGTAGGGAGTGTTCACCTGTCGGAGGCTGCGGTTTTGATAAGGGTGGGGCGAGCTCACTGGACTTGATTACAGGAGCAGGAAGTCCTCTGGCTGCCGTTCCCCTTTGTGGGTCCCGTCCCGGCAGCTGCTCCCCATTCTGACCAGAGCCAGTGGTGCGGGAGCAATGCACGTGCCGTCCCACAAACAGAGCCCTTCCCACTGCTCTGAAGACCACAGTGAGGCCAGATCTCAGCGTGGGGTCGTGTGTGTGTGTGTGTGTGGGGGGGTAGGGGTGTGGGTAGGGGTGTGTGTGTGTCTGTCTGTGTCTTTGGGGGGGAGGTGGGTTCCAACCCTCCTTCCCAGGGCCTAGTTAAACTGAATAAACTTCTTTCAGAGGGCTGCGTGTCAGCATTTCATCAGATAAAGTATGGTTCAAACCAGAACGCAGAGCTCAGCCCACAACGGGCTTCGAATCCCAGCTCCGTCACTTCCCAGCTCTGTGGTCCTGGAGAAGTTACTTCCCTTTAATCCCCAATTTCCTCCTCCATAAAATGAGGATAATAATATGACCGACCTCTCAAGGCCATTATACTGATTTAAATGAGCTCATCCATATAAAACTGTTAGCCCAATGCCTGAGAGATAATCTCTTAGTATTTGTGAGTCACTATTTCCATTCTTGATAAGATGTTGACGTTAGTAGGAAATTCGAGTTTTCAGGGGGACTTTTTCTAGTATGTGCTTCACCACCCATTCCTCCCAGCTTTTAGGGTCCATCCATGTCCAGAACGTCTGAAGAAGAGGATAAGGACCAGGAGGATGCTGAGACCTGTATAAGGGGAAGCATCTCTGTATTTGAACAAAGTTCTCCTTTTTTCAGCTGAACAGCAGGGGTCAGCAGTGTGGGTTGGTCACCTGAGCGCATTTCCTCACATCCTAGCAGGCTTGTTGAAGGTCAGTGTTTCAGAAAGCAGCACGAGCTGTGTCATTGGAGGAGGGCACACCTGGGCTCCCCTTCCCCTGCCTGCTCTGTCGGGAAGCTTGGGCTCGTGGTCAGACCACCCTTCTTACTGTTCTTCGCTAAGTCAGGCCTCGTCCTGCCAGGGGACGTCGTATCTGCTCTATCCTTGCGGGGAGTCCATCTCTCAGACATATGCATGATGTGCATGGCTCATTCTCACCCCCCTCAGGTGCGTCTGTCACTATCTTCCTCTGCTCAGGTGGCTTATAAATAACAGAAATGTATTTCTCACAGTTTGAGAGACTGGAAGTCAGAGCTCAGGGTGCGTGCATGTTCGGGTCCTGGTGAGAGCCTCTTCCGGGTCGCAGACTGCGGACTTCCAGCCCTCACGGGGCAGAGCGCATCGCTCATGTTAGAGCACTGACCCCATTCTTGAGGGCTCATGATATTGTCTAATCCTAATTACCTCTCAAAGGCCCCATCTCCTAATACCACCACGGTTCAGGGAGGGTTTCAACATGTGAATTTGGGGGACACAAACATTTAGTCCCTAATACTCACTGGAGAGACATCCTCCCTGTCTTACTTCATATCTCCACTCCACCTCAGGCACTTTGCACTCCCTAACCTGTCTTTTCTTTTTCCTTAGGACGAAAGGGAGGCCCCAACAACAGACTAACATTTACCTGACTCTCAGAAGACCTCCAAATGTAGGTGTGTACCAATTTCCTATAAAATTAACAAGCACCTTAAAAATACCCATTCCCTTTGACTTGTAGAAGTAGCCTAAGTATAATAATATGTAAGTATAATAATATGAAATACAAAGACCGGTGGGTGAGGACAGTCCTCAGGCGGCGTTTACAGGAGTGAAAATTCGGGAATCACTTAAATATCTAACCTTAGGGGAATGGATGAAAGTGCTCTTGGGAAGCGTGCGTGGGAACATCATACAGGCGCTTCACATCTTTGACCCTGTGGGGATGCCATGAGTGCAAAATCAATCTGAAGGTTAATATTTACTTAGTGTAACTCTGAATGGGTACATGGGAGACTATAGTTCAAACTGTTACGTTTATCACTGATGGAAGGAAATACAGGCGATCATTATTAGCTTTTACGTTTTCCGCGGTAGGTTTGCCACGAACATGCGTGACATGTTTTTTTTTGGGGGGGTGGGGGGGAGCTGTTTGATAGGGTGTCTTAAAAGGTTTTAAATTTAGATGATGAATCTTTTAAGTCCACTTGGTATTACAGACAATACTGGGACAGACTGTAAGAAACGTTTCTTGATGAAACATCACTCGTAGTTTAATCCAGTGTACTGCTATGTCTCCCTTTTGGATGATGGTTTCTGATATTTTCATCAGTTTGTCCT